TACAGAATAAGTTTAGCTTTTTCATCAAACACCTTTTTCTTGTGTTTTACAGCATAAAGGCTAAAAGAACACCATGTGATCCGAAAGGTCTCTGGTTGTAACGTCATGTCCCCCGCTAACTCACTTAATGCCACTCAGCTTCAGCCCCTTCCTCTATACTACAGAGATAATTATTGTGCTGTCCCAACCAGCGTTTAACTTTAGCTAAGTAGAACTGCCATATATCTTTAAGAGAAGTGGCCTCGGAACAATTATAGTGGCTTATATTTATATATATAATTATATTGGCGAGCACTATCCTAACGATCACAACACGGTAAAATATGTGAAGCACTTTGAACACTGAAAGCATGATATAAGTGCTAAGTATGATTATTATCTCAGAGTTGTTCTGACTTTTCTTTAGTGGCCTGTGTTTCGTTAGGCCAAGGTCTGCCAGAAACAACAGATCTGTAGAAATGGAATCGCTTCCCTTCCAGTGTTTCTCTCAAGCTGTCAGTTTTTTAATCTAGGGACCACTTTGCTCTTGCCTTAAAAGGCTTCCTGTTGTCAGCTTCTTGCCACAGCTTTAGCATTGAAGAACATATCTACAAAGAGGGGCTAAGTAGCATGGGCAGGAAGAAACAATACATCACTGCTTTGGACTAGGTGTCCAAAGGGGGGAGGCCTATGATTAAGCAATTGGAAACCACAAAATAAAAGGACCCAACAAAAATGAAAAAAACAAAGGAATATGAAAAAGAGGTGTGTGGGTGTAAGAATAACACACATTATTTAAAAACATAAAATATAAACTGTGTGGCGTGTGCACACACACACAGTATTTTTCCATATCCTTTCCTTTTTTGTTACCTTTTTTTTCAGCGTTTCTTATTTGGATTATGCCCTCCCCAGCAATCCTGTTGGTCCATCTGAAGTAGAAGCAAGTAAACTCAGGAACTGAGTCTTCCCTTGCACACTTTGCATTAGGCATACTGATTCAGCCCGCCTGGTGTTTCTGAAATGTTCTGCCATAGTAGTGATTATGGTGGGCCTCCAGGACACCTTCACACCCTCAGCCCAGCCTGCAGTGTTACTCGCCTCCCTTACCCATTACACTGCATGTAGCAGTGATTCTACAACTCTGTACTCCACATTTGAGGCTGCAAAAAAGGAAACCTGTGTCTAGTCTGATTTCCCACACTTACAGACACTCATTTATCAGATGAATTGCAACTTCAGAGGAGTAGCTGTCTCTGTTGCTTTTGCTGCAAAGGACTGACAATTGTGGTGCCTTTGTGGTCAACAGATTTATTGCAGCTTTTGTGGTGCATAAATTGTAGTCCATGGAAACTTATGTCACTATAAATATGTTATTCTTTACAACTCTTTGTTGTTACTAAGCAGTAATTTTTAGTCCTGTGTAAATAACTGCTTGATATATTGGCCATTTAATACTGTTCTGCTAAGGTGTTAGGAGATTTTGGCCATGCCACCGCTTTCTGATCAGGTGCCCAAGTATGGTAACACTCTCAATACCTTTTTTATGATTATTACATCAAGTCACAGAGAAGTTATGGTGACCCCGTAGGGTTTTCAAGGCAAGAGACGTTCAGCGGTGGTTTGCCATTGCCTGTCACTGTACAGCATCCCTGGACTTCCTTAGTGGTCTTCTATCCATGTACTAACCAGGGCTGATCCTGCTGAGCTTCTGGGGTCTGACAAGATCAGAGCAGCCTGGGCTATCCAGGTCAGGGTTTCTCGACACTGTTTGGTAGGATAACATATACACAGTGGCAAGTTGGACTCACAGTTTAGAACTGAGACAAAAGTGTGCTGACATCATCTGGAGGCTTTGTCCAGTCTGACAGACTCAGTATTTAGTTCTCAGTAGGGAGGGCGAAGGAGAATGAACCTCAGATAAAAGGTTCCTATAGATAGTCGGCCGACCGTTGGTAGGGCATATCTGACAGGAAGCTGCAACCTGGCTGTCTGCTCACATCCACGAAGGGACATATTGCTTTTCTCAGAGCTCACAACACAAATTATAAACAAGGCTCCTGATCAAAGTTTTCTTCCTCCCACTCTTGAATGCGGGATGTTTCAGAGATGAACCAAACAAAAAGTGATTTTGTTTTTACAAACATTCTACTAACTATACTAGCGATCAAGGGTGATTGGATGTTATCCAGTCCCTGTACAGTTACTCATTACTTAGTTCTCATGAAAAAAAAATGGAAGGTAGCCTTTTGGAAGACAAGGCAGCACTCCCCAGTTCCAGCACCATGTGTGCCATCTTCTGCAGTGACTGCTCCAAGGGAGAGAGTTTTATTCTTCCCAAAAGTGTGACCAGGGTCCCCTTTCCCAGATGTGTGCTGCTGTCTCCTCTTTCTTGGCTAAATTCGCTTTGGCAACCGTTTTAGGAGCTAGCAGTGCCATGCTTTGGCGAAGGTGAGGCCGAGGTGCTTCTCAGATTATGCTAGTGAATGGCCAAAACTTTGGGCAGGAGACTGATTCACTGATGGGATATCTGCTTGCTTACCCATTGCCACAGGGGCTTGAAAAGCCAGGCACCCACCTAGGTCTATCAGTGTAATTTCATCGGCAAGGGCATGTCTTCCTAAGTACAAAATCTAATTATTATCAAACAGCCAGGTGGGCTTAATTACTTTTACTGACCTTTGCTGAATGTCTCCTCCCCACCTGATTCAGGCATGGGTGAAGCCTCCTCCCTGCCAGCCCTTTGGTCCACTCTGCCTAGAGGCAATCACCTTTTGTTACCTTTCTGGGAGGGCCCCAGCCCCATAGCCAGAAAATTTTCAGCAGGGGGGCGCATGCCACTGACATGGTGACATCACCATCACTGAGACCTGGATTCAAATCCTCATTCTGCCATGATTTTCACTGGGTGACTTTGGCTGTATCCACACATCTTTGGATATTATGTTATCATTGTGCTATAGCAAGCATTCACTTGTGATGTGACCTGTAAGTGACCTGATGATTGGCTGGCTCTCCTTCTCCCTCTCCATTCATGGAGGAGCCTCCTGTGCACCAGGAATGGAGACGGAAAAGGAGACCCAAGGAGACAGGTATGCCCCAGCGCCTCACTGTGCCTGCACCAACCAGCCCTGCTGCTGAGGGAGAGCCATGGAGGCAGTCAGGCACCTGCCCCAGCGTCTCACTGTGCCTGCACCAACCAGCCCAGCCACCCTGCTGCTGCTGAGGGAGAGCCATGGAGACAGTCAGGCACGTCTCGTTACCAATAAGGCTCCCCGGGGTATGGAGAGGAAGGGGGGTCTGGCATCCTCCCAGGGAGGGCTGGGGGTCATGTGTGGGGGCACTGCCCCCCAACCCCCGGCTACGGGCCTGGAAGGTCCCCTTTCTAATGCAATCAAAGTCAGGAAACCCACAGATTCTCATCCTGGACTCACCCTGAATCCTTGGACTTTACAATTATTTCTTTGATATTCTTTTGTGCCAGCCCCTGTAGCTATTACTGTTTTGCAAGCCAAAATTGTGAAGTCTAACCCCTCTGCTGCCCACTCCACTTTTCTGGAACCAGTAAATCTTACTATTTCATTGGAACCTTTGGAAGCTCTGTCTAAGGTTCTCTACCCTGAATCTCTGGATCATCTAAACCAACAATATACCAACTCAGCGGACTGAGAATAGGTAAACTCCTTAGTTGACACCTTTCTCTTAAAAACTCTCCTTTCCCCTCTTTTAAACACCCACCACCACCACCACCTCTCACTCACTCTTCCTTGTGGCCATTCCCCGCTGCAGAATTCCTACTCAGCCAGAGGCTTGGCTCTCTTTTAATTTCTCTTTCTCTGTGTTCATGTAACTCTTCATATGGAGGCAGAGAAAACTTTCTAAAAGTCCCCTACTTTTTTATTTTCAAATTTAAATAAATAAGACAGCTGGAGTGCCACTGGGGCAAGAAAAGCTGGAATTATGCATGCTCAATAACAATGGCATTGACCACTCTTCCATCCCAGGTGGGATAATAGTACTGTAGTCAATTCACACCTGGAAGGTTCACAAGGTAAAAATGGTGATGTTAAAAACTCATGATAAACAGCACTGGATTCTAAGGGCTCATTGAATGAGCAAATATCAATGGCAGAGACAACAGCTCAAATGGAAATGCCTGAACTTCCATGCAGCTTCTGTGCTCTTATTGCACAGAAGAGGAGAACAGCTTTTCCTGTAATTGCGAGAGTTGCACGGATAGTAGTTAGAGTGTCAGACTATGACCACTGAGACCTGGATTCAAATCCTCACTCTGCCGTGATTTTCACTGGGTGACTTTGGCTGTATCCACACATCTTTGGATATTATATTATCATTGTGCTATAGCAATCACTCACAACTAGATCATCCTGTGTGGACCAGCCAATCCACTTGTGAATGATTACTATAGCACAACGATAGCACCATATTCAGCCATGTATGGATGCAGCCCTTCAGCCACTGCCTTTCTCTCAGCCTAACAGGGTTGCTGTAGGGAGAGAACTGGGAACGGGGTCACATACACTGTCCTGAGCTCCTTGGAGGAAGGGTGGGATTTTATAAAACATCTAATAAATAAATAAATAGAACCACGTTATTGGCAAAACTGGAGCTAGAAGATTTCTAGACAATTGAGAGGAAGGTAACGATTATGGCTCAATACACGAGGGTTGCATTTTTTAAATTTATAGGTGGATTCCAGTTTCTTTCCCTTGCAAGACTTGTAAGCTCTTCAGAGCCAAGGATCACCTTCATTCTGTATAGCTACTACATATATATTTGCATATATATGTCGATGACTCTTGAAGACAGGGCAGAGCGTGAGTCATAATGAATGACTAAATTACTATAGTCCTGTTTTGTACAGCATCTGGCAACCACATTGTGATTCTTAGTGCCTTGGAGAAAGGGGAATGAGGCAGACCTCCAGAAACGAAAAAGGCTTCTGTTGCAGGGTACAACCTTACCTGCCTGTCCCCACAACATGAAGCCTCAGGACCTACCTCTGCCGTGTGATAAGGTTGATGTAATGCCTCAGCGCTGAATAGTATCTGGCCATATCCTCTGCAGGCGCATCCTCTCCAGGACTGTCTGGTTTGGATGGGTACGCGTCTGCTGGCGTTCCCAGACAGATCAGCAGGCACAGGGTGAGTGTCATCACTGACAGCCACAATCGCATGGTCCCCTGCATCTGTGGGACAGAGCAAAGGATTTCTCATTACAGTTCTTTGAAGTGTGTATGTTTGAGTGGAGGGAAAGTGACAGAACAAGAGAGCACCCCTTGCTCTCAGTAAGGCCTTTGAATCACAGTACAGCTTCAATTTGAGTCCAGCCCAAGGCTGACTGTGCATTCCCAAGCACAGCTGCACCCTTCTAAGTCCACTGAACTCAATGGGCTCAGGAGGGTGCACCTCTGTTTAAGACCGCTCTGATAATTTCTCAAGAACGTCATCTGCTCTGGACATAACTGCGAAGCTCCCTTTGGCCACGATTTCCCCAACAGACTTGAGTCCTTCCATGTCTGGAAAGATCACAATTCTAATGCCATCAGGGCTGTTTAAGATACTTAGTGGGGAGAGTCAAACACTCTGCTCATGTTCTAAGGCTCAGCATGGTGTTAAGAAATAAATCCAACCCTGTTTTCCCAGCTTTCAGAATCAGCATCAGAATTTTTCTTAATTCAGCTTCAAAGGTGGACTATAAACAACGTAAGTAAATTTAAAAAAAAGACTTTGTGGCCGGGGTATTGTCCTTTTCCTTCTGCTTGAGAAAGAACAGTTCCGTGAAGCTGAGAAGTGTGCATACTTTTCACACAGAGAAATGGCTTCAGTTAACAGATTTTATTTGCTGTATCTATTTTATTAAAGCCCAGATCTTGCCGATGGCACATTTTAAAAAAAGTCATCCTAAAGATTTCTGTAATCTTTTCCAATTATATTTTTTTTAAATCCCACTGAACTCCCTTTGAAGGAGGGAGGTTGCATTTGTAATCAGCAGAGCAGGAAAGAGCAGAAATAGAAAGGAATTGGTGGGATTGACTTTGTCATCTCAATTTGTGAGTTTACAGCCATTTCTTCCCCCTAGAAGGGTTTAGGTCGTGAGGAGAAAACCCGGCAGCAATGTTCCCTCTAAGCTGTGGAGTCCTGTGAGCAAAAATTCTACTCTGTGAGCTACTGGCATGAAATTTGTGAGCAAGCAATTTGGCTACTGCATAAATTAGTTGACTCTGGAGCCATCCTTCCTGAGCGAAGACAAAAATCTGTGAGCTGGAGGCTGAAAAACTGTGAGCTAGCTCACACTTACTCAGCTTAGAGGGAACACTGCCCGGCAGCGAAGGGGAAAGTTCCTCTTTGTGACGGGATTTGTGACAAGGGGCTTGTGACAAGACTGGAACGGCGAAAATGCTCTTTGGCGTTGGCCTCCTTCCTTGCCTAGCGCTGCACCCCGAAGTCCTTAACTCGGGAGTCAGTCCGAGAGAACTCCGGCGGGACTGGGCGCCGAGCGCCTGCGGTCCGGGCTGGCGCCGTCCAAGTTCCGCCGGGCTGGGACTGGTTGCGGGGGAAGTTGCAAAAGAGTCTGCTCTGCCGCGAAGCGAACGGAACAGACCGCGGAGGAGGAGGGAAGACCCTTGAAGGGAGGCGCCGTCCTAAAGTTGGCGAGGAAGGCAACCGAAGGCGGGAGCGGGCTGGAAGCGTCGGGAAGTTGGACTCGGGGAGACGGGAGCGCCCGGCGAGAGGAGGTGGGGAGGGGACGGGACCGGACAGGACGGGACGGGACGGGAGGCGGCTCACCTCGCGTGTGCTCGTCGCGGCGCTCCTGGCTGGGACTCTGCTGCTGCTGCTGCTGCTGCTGCCGCGTCAGATAGAGGGGATGGGCGCTCCAGTGTGGGGCTGCTCGCCGCGGCGAGGTGTTTTATGGCTTTCCCAGCAGGCAGGAGGGGCCTCGGGCGATCACGCTTCCGTGACTCCAGCCCCCCCCCCCATTCTCCCTCCAGCCCCCCCCCCCAATTCTCCGCCTGCGCTCTGCCCCGGGATTGGCATCAGCGGCGGCTCCATCTCTTGACACTGACACGGGGTGGGGGGGGGGAGCGAGAGGAGGGGCAGCTGCGCTGGCTGAGCCATCTTCGGCCTGGCACTCAGCCCCTCCCTCCCCGGCCAACACCGAGCAAGTTTTTACACAAAGAACCAGCGGAGACCTGGCGCGCGCCCCCCCCACCCCAAGACTGGGCAGATCCGCTGCTATCGTTGCAACGGGAAGAACGAAGACCTGGACCGATTCTTCCTCCGGCAAGCTCACCTCGGATTCCAGCTTCCTGACCCCAGCCGAGGCCCCAAATCGAAGAAGATCCGCTGGGGTCATACTGGGTTCCTGTTTACATGAAGGGGGGTGTGTGGTCTCAAATGTATTATATTCCAGATATCCAGCATTCTAAAAGTACACACACTTAACAGGTTGCAGACTTGGAGAGGTAATACTTCCTTTCCGTTTGAAAGTTTAAACAATAAGCGTTAAGTATACCTGAGAAGGAACACCTATTTTACTTTACTGAATGCACCAACTGTCTCTTCTGTGCCAGCTTGTATCTTAAAACAGAGAACACAGGCATCCAAAAAAAGCTCAATCCACTCATCCAACAGAACAGTTTTACAGATTGGACCTCTGATCCTGCCAAGTCCGGGGCACAACACTAGAGGCCCCATCAACAGAGGCTATTGCCTTTGGCATTCTGTTCCATTTCTTTCTGACACAAATATTAATTTCCAGAAGGAAAGAAAGCCAGGGTTTGGTGTGTCCCCCCCCCCATAATAGGAACATGGCAGCATGGATGTCCTTTTGCCACTCAAGGGCCAGTCATATTGTCCATCAGATTCCTGATCCATGGACATTTGGCCACAAGGATATCTGGACTGCTATACACCTGGATAGCCATGTTTATGGTTCCTTGAAATCCGATAGCTGGTTGTGTGTGTATGTGTGGACATGTGCATCTGGACATTTGGTAACCAGGGCAAATTGCAGCTCTGCAAAGCCAGTTTCTACACCAGATAAATGTGGCACAGGTGAGCAGGCATGTGCTGAAAGTAGTGGCGTGCAAAGTGTGGCCATGTCATCTTGGAACAAGGAGTGCCACACAAGTTAGTTTTGTTTGCAGGAAGAATTTTGTTGTTTGTCCTTCCAACCAATTTCATAGATTGCAGAGATGGGAGAACTTGTGAAACTGACACGTCTTTCTTTATAAGGAAGATTCTTCAGCTCCCTCACCAAGCGGGTGCTGTTTCCTGTACCCTTTTCAGCTCCGGGACATCTGTTTTGACATGAGCCAATCAGAAGGTACCCTCTATTCCCAATGCAGGGACACCACAAACTCAGTACAGTGGCATTTGGAGACTTACTGCTTTGTTTTCCAGCCCCTTTTGCAATGTTGAATTTGTTCTCTATACTGCTTCAGCACACTCCCCTGCCAAGGTTAGTGAGCTTTAGAATGTGACCTCTGTGATCTCTCTCCTGGGTGCTTTCAGCCAGTTTAGAACCCATCAGCTTAGAGAAGTTACGCTTACATCATGTAGTGCTTAAAACTTTAATTGTATCGTGACCATGAAGCCTGTGTGTTGCTTCAGAGAAAGGGGGTTGGGGGGAGAGGCAGCTGAGACGGCAGCAAGAGGAGAGAGTCATGGAGATGGGAAAGAAGGTGAGGGGACAAAGAGATGAATGAGAAGGTGGAACACGAAAGAGACACAACAGGCCACTTCCGCATTGTCTTTTTTGTCACTAGTTTGTCCCTATTGCTTTGGCTTCCCCCTCCCCTTTTCCCACATGTGTTTTGCTCCCTCTGCGACTACTAGAGAGAGCAAAACACATTGGGGAGGGGGAAAACCCCTGAAGCAATAGGGACAAATGAGTGACAAAATGAGTGACAGCTAACCAGCATGAGGGGAAACGGATGTATGTATACCAGCCAAAACGTGGGCTGCTGACCTCTACTCAAGTCAGTTAATTGAACAAAGGCAAAACCTGTACTACGGAGAATATACATTCTCGTATTAATCATGCATGGCTCGTATTAATCATGCTTGGCTCAAGGAGGTTGAGAAATGGACTGCACTTATTATTGTCATGGGTGAAAGCACAAAATCAGAAAATAGTTCTCATGATACCTTTTATTCGGACCAACCCAATGACATGTAATAGGGTGCAAGCTTTCAAGTTCACTAGACCCTTTCATCAGGCTGGATACTACAGGGGTTTTTGAAATGTTTGAACAGCCTAAGGTTGCAAGCCTGCATTCAATGACTTGAGAGTAAGTCTCATTAAAGCTGGTGGGGCTTAAGTACACATGCATAAGACCAAGCTATAAGGCCCCTGTCTTAACTAACAACAAACTCAGTGGAAGTTAGTTTTGTGAGTAAATAAGGTTGTACTCTCAATTTGAAATTCTCCATACAATTAAGATCTTTTTGACTATTGGAGCACCCTAATTTGTGTGTTGGTGGGTGTCAAAGAAATAATTTGTTTGTTTGTTTATTTGGTTCTATTTTTAAACTGCCCTTCCCTGAGAAACAGGGCTCAAGGCAGTGTACAATAATACATTCGATTATTCTGCTTCTATTTTTATGTCATGTTTAAATCTTCAAATGAGATCTTTAATAGTGAGATCAACTTAGAAAATCAATCCAATGGTAATTTCTATTGCTTTTAATGGGAAATACATTTCTGGATGTAGTTTTGTTGTTGTTGTTCCATTAGCTACAGAATTCTTTGTTGGTAGTACATTCTTGGAAACTACAACCCATCCCTAAGCAACCCTCCCTGCCAAATTTCAGGAAGACAGGAGAAATCATCCCTGTTCTGTATTAAAATTGAAAATTCCACCTGCACAGCTGGCACAAGGAGTCATGAACTGGTGTTTCCTCCTTTCTCAGGATACTCAAGCAGCAAATGGAGTGTTAATTTGTTAATTTGTTTAAAATGAGCATGTGGGGAAAGGGAAGCAAAATCCTGCTTACCCCCTGCCCCCCCTAGTTTTTTTTATTGATTGACTCATGGTATCATAGTCTGCTCAGGGGAAAAATATGATTCAAGCAGCACAGCATAAGGAGGTGAGGTTAGGAGGGGGGAGAGCAAGTTTAATTCCTCTAGCTTGTGTGCTCTGGGTTTCTTTAAACACACATATCCTGGTTCCGGTCTATGGATTGGCGATGGTGGTCACTCTCCCCAGAGCTTGGGGAGGCGATTAGCACACCATCGGCATGGAGGGGTGCCACCTCAAGTGGCACTCCCACGGAGCCTTTGTGAAAGGCTCCAGGCCAGAGAGCTTTGAGGGATAGCCTCTTCGATGGCTTGCTGCCGGAGAATCGAGGCTTCTCTCTGCTCTGACGGTCCTACCGATGAGTGGCCTTAGGACAGAAGCTAACCCGACCGGGACAAGCGGGGGAGACTGAGCGGAACAACTATTGATGTGAGCGAGGTCAGGAATGTGACCAACAATGAACGTGAGTTCTAAGTAAATGAACTTTGATAAACGGCACCCCCCCACACCTGTGGGGAAAGCGGAGCACAAAGAGCCTCTGAAGTGCAAGGACAGATAAACGCAATGAAGGGGGAGTGGGAGGAAACAGACAGCGTGTGTATTTTAAGAGATTTACTCGAGTGCATATAGTGAATTGACGAGTGCTTCGAGCCCGGGAGAAGTGGTTTGAAAGTGTAAACAAAGTTGGGAAATGGCGGAATCCCGAGGAAAGTTTAAAGCGAAGCCTGGTAGTCAGAGTCCGAGGCCAAAAGAGGGAGCTGACGTCATGAAGCTGTTAGCGGATATGCTCAAGCCAGTGATGGATCAGCTCGATGGTATTAACCAGCAACTGGCCTCGTTAAATCAAAACTTCGCTTCACAACAGCGCCAGCTGGCAGAAACGGGGAAAAAAGTGGAGCTGGTGGCTGAGAAAGTTACAGAGATGGACACCTCAAGCAAGAAGATGAAGAAAAGAATGGGTGAAGTAGAAACGAAACAAAATCGTCAAGAAAATCATTTGTTGCAGCTGCAAATGGAAAAGGCTAATATGATTCTCAGGTTCCAGGAGGTTCCTGAGACAGAAAAAGAAGATTTGAAGAAGACTCTGGGTGAGATTATCGCTCCAGTGACAGGCTTGCCAGCAGAGGAAATAATAAAAGACATGGAGACAGCTTATAGGGCTTACTCCAATTATATTTTAAAAAATAGCCTACCTGGAGAGATTGTGGTGAGATTTGCAAGAAGACAGACCAGATATGCTATATTAAAGGCAACTTCAGCAACTCCACTGAAATTTGGGAATACAATTATCAAGACTTTAAAAGACATTCCATTTGAAATTCGTCAGAAGAAGAAGAGCTACAAGGAGTTAATTACTTTTCTTCAAACAAACGGCATACAGTACAGGTGGGCAATTCCTGAAGGTGTCATCTTTAAAATCAATGATAGAAGGGAGAAGATAGACTCCATCTTCAAAGCCAAGGAATTCTTGAAACGCCAGCTGGGATCGGGGGAAGAATCTAAAGAGGAACAAACTAAGTCAAGTGACTCAGCTGCCTCGGGAACGGATGAGGACTCTGCTGCAGAAGTGGGTGCGGGAGCAATGAAAACTGTATATGATTTTAGAGACAGAAAGCCGAAGTAAGGGCAGAAGGACTCTGATAAATGGCTCTTTGAAATAAAGAAGATGCTCAGAAAGTTCTCTCATAATAACTAATTTACTAATATAGAAGAATGTGAAAAACAAGAATTCTACAAGTATATTGTTTTACTAACTCTTTTAATACTAATATTAAGGTTAACATAAAGGGGGTCTCCCACTCTTGGGTTTTTAGTTAGTGTGGGTT